AAATTTAATCGACTTAAAAAACTTTTAACATATTGTAATTATGAGTTTTTTATATTGAAATTATATATATATATAATTGGCTCTGAAGCGTTATTTCGGCCGAGCGGGCCTATGACTTTATTTTATGTCCGATATACACTCGGAGAGGTGGACATAGAAAATTTAACAAAGTTTTCCTTAAATTTTGGATGTTAGTGGCACCAGGATATGAACCCGAGCCTTCCGAATGTCAGTACGCAATGCTAACTACTCGACTGCCGCGGCAGCCAAATTGCACTGCTATAAAAAAATTAACAATTATAAAAACAATATCCTGTCTGCTTACAAAATTTCCTTGAAACATCTCTAAAGCTGTGAGACTGCTCCTCATCTCCTTGTGAGTGAACTAAAACTAAGGTAGAGAGATTATCCAAAATGTGTTGCTCACTACGTGATTTTCTGATATTTTTAGTGTATTTACCAATCAATTCTGGAATTGATTATTTATTGGAAAATTTAAACTTTTAATGATTTTCTGAGGTTATTTAGAAAAATTTAGAAATCTTTCAATGCGAAAACGATAAACGATATCTGTTTGAAAGAATAAAAGAGTGCTACAAAAAGAAGTGTGAGTGCAAATTGTGTATTTAAAAGAGAGATGTTAAAATTTGTGAAAATAAGAGCACATCATTTTCATAGAAAATTATTGAATTCACATTACTGAATCGAGATGTGAAAGTGGGAGCATGGCTGACAGTATGAGAAACCCATTAAAGCTGAGAAAAAACTTTCTTGAACTTTTCCTCCAATAATTCAATATGATGTATTATGAGATAAAACATTTATGTGCATACACATAAATTGTAGTTATATGACTGAATGCCTAAAAACTCTATCGAGAAGCATAATTATTTATCTTAACATTAATTGAAAGACAATGGCAAGGATAATACTTTACACTTGAATGAAATATATTGTATGCAACATTACATATTGCCGCAAGCTGTATTGAAAATACAATCAGTTAAGTAATTTGAATAAGCATAAGATTGAAATTTAATTCGTAATAAATTTTGTACATACATATTTATGCAGTTAATGTACACATATTGCATTTGTCGAACAATAGAGATGAAAACAATACTTAAATAGAAATAAAATACAAAGAGATGAGTATATATCTACATTTGTGCTTGCATTTAAAGGAGGGATATTTAAATACTTAACATTTAATGCTTGTAAAAAAATTACAGAAATATTAGTACAAACTATTAGTAACTTATGTATATATATATATATCTAAGAAAAGCTAAAGCATTCATTATGGAGGCCAAAGTTAAATTATTGTCAGTAAATTTTAGAAATCATATCTGGTATTTTCAGAGCATTTTTTTTTTCATAACTTCAGTTTACTTAGGCAACAGTCGCCAAATCACACCTTTGGGGACGACGTGAATATGCCTCTCTTCTGAAAACATTTTGATTCCGACACGGTTTCCCGTGAGTATACGCGCATACGATTATAATCCACCGGCTAACTGCACAAGCTCCTTAAACTCATGCGTCCAAACTTTTCTCTCTTTCTTCTCACAAGTGCGATTCCTTTTCTCTTTCAACACTCGATACCTCTTCTATATATCGCAGGTCGACCGCCAACAAGTTTTATATTAAGGCAAACAACCATCAAGCCATTATTTCTCTGTATCTGTGCGATTTTATTACGTTAGATGGTGTTAAAAATATGGTGATTTTTTTTAAAAAAAAGTAATGGGAGAAGTGCTTGAGAACATGTTAAAAATGGGCACCAGCAAAGAGAAAATACGCTATAATTTATGATTTTTCTTCGAATAAAGTCAAAAACTCAAATCAGGCAGTTGAACTTGTGCTTAGTATTTATGGTCCTGATATTCTAAAAGTCAATCAAGCACAAATTTGCTTTCATTAATTTCGTTCCGGCAATTTCAAAGTAAAAGTTGCTCCACGGTGTGGAAGGCTAATTTTTGTAATAGAGAGCACTATTTCGACTAAATATTGTACAAAATAGTTTGAAACCAGTTGCAAACGGCTGTGTTAACGAAAATTCCTTCTTGACAGAATTTCGATCTGCAAATCACTGCTGAATCATAACAAACTAAAAAGTATGGCTACTGGTAATGAAATTTTATCTTTTGCAGCAAACATTATGAGCTGTTCCCCTGCGGCCAACTCTTCATTCTGACCTGTACCATCTCTTTCATATGAGAGAGGCATTGCTTGAAAATCGCAAAAATTTATCGAGCAAAACGGACATGTTTAATATAAATCAGATTATTCTTGGTATGGCGAAAAATGCCTCCAATTTAACATAAAAATAAGGATCAATCGCTTTGATTAGGAGAAATACTTATCTTATAACTGGAAAGTGGCTAAATGTCGAACTATTTCTTACTTGAAGTCCGACATAATCAACATACTAAACGTACTATTCGCAACACCATCACCCATCTTGACTGGTAACTAATGTGCTATAATTTTCTGGTTTTCTTGACTACATTAAGTAATTATGAGAATATGGTTCTTAAGAGATATGGGGAACGCATCCGAGTCTTGGACAGGAGTGGGTTAAAATGTGTCTTTGTGCCTCCTAAATTCAAGTTCGTGCTACTAAGGGGCTAGTGGTATCATTGCGTAGTTTTAAACACGGAGCTACCTCTTCCTACACCCATTTGAACTAGTGTAATAATTTGAAGGACTAATTTCAATATACTGCATAATAAACTTTTTTTTTGGAAATGTAATTATAATATATTCAGAATCATTGCTGTTCAGCTTCGGTTACGAAAATTTAAAATTTGGCAAAAAATCCGAAAAGGAAAGAATAAGGCATGGACTTCGATGCCTTTCACATTTTTATTAGCCACCCGAGAATTGCAGCTTTTTTCATGTAGAATTTTCAGCTATTATGGAGGTTATGGAGATGATTTAGCGAACAAATCGAATTGCTAGCTCTGCAAAAACTTTTCATTACGTCAATAATCGAAAGTGCGGTGATATCAGAAAAATAAATAAATTTTTGTACAAAAAAATCGGTTTTAATTATTTTTCAATATAACGTATCGTTTTTGAAAATGATGATGTTAAGTCCATAGAAAACTTAATGAGGATTTCGAAATAAAAATTATTTCAAATTGTTAGAGAATCTTAACATGCTCTCAAATTCAAATATCAAAAATTCTAAACGTAACTTCGCTTTTTTTAATAATTTTGTTGTCCAAAAAACCACTACTCAGTTTTAGAATATAAACAGAACTTAGAGCAATCGTTTAACAAGGTTTTGAGAAAAATACTGTTTCTTGATGTCAATAAAATTTAAGTTTTTCCGAAAACGGTTTTTAATAGAAATCTTGATGAATATCGAAATTAAATTGATGGGTCTTCCATGGGATATCGCTACTTACATGTTCCTACTGAAAGAAATTTTGTTTAAATCTTTTTAAAATATTTTAAATTATAAAAAAATTTTGAGATTAGAATTAAATTTTTTTGGAAAAGTTTTGTGTTTGAAATGATTTTCAAAAATACCAATTTTCAATTTTTTGGTGATTAATTCTTTTGCACCCATATCCACTTGTGGCAAATACCGGAATGCTCATAGTAGAGTTAAGTGGCACATTCTTCCGCAGGGAAGATGCAGCCCATTCACCATTTGTCTCACACACTTTCACATATAGCCAATGTTCATTCAGCCTACATTGTTGCTGTCTCGTATGTTTAAATCGCCAATTAATCAACTCAATTGCGCAAACAAGCCAAAATGGGTTGACTTCTTACGAAACACGCAAAACTAAGCCACCAAGCCAATTTGATGGTTGTTATTGTTGCGGCATGTATCATTGGTGTAAATACAACTATACAAACACAACACGCGGGGAGGCCAATGCCGATGGGCCTGTTCGGCGGCTGTTTTGCTTGTCAGTGGACAGCCGCGTGAGCATAACTATTCAGGCAGTCGTGTAGCATAAATATCCTATGACCAGCGAACGGCCCGGCCCGGCCCGGCCGACAGTCCAGCCGACATTTACGCAAAATTTATGTTTGCACACAAGAACTTTGACTGCATTTTAACTAGGTACATAGCTTCGGGGTAGAAGGGGCGCGTCCGTCACCGCTGCTGCGTTTCTTGTGCGTCGCATTACAAGCAAATTTCAGCGAACTCATTGCATGCTCCACCAGCAGCGGAGGTCTCAAGTGTCAGTGTGATATATTTATATAAACATTTACATATATACTCAAGAGACGCTCATGGTGACGCTCTGCTCGGGGCATACGGTTGGATATTTGCATTTAAGGCCAATTGGCTTGGGCGAGTGAGGGTTACATGGAATGGCGATAAAATAGCCGCAAAAATACTTGTGCTTACATACATATTTGGATATGATGAAGTGGGGGTTGTTTTTGTTAAATTTATTTTTTGTAGTTCTCGTCATTGTTATAACCTTTCTTCCTGTTGCTCTATGATACTTTTTTGTTGTTAAAATAGCCATAAAGTTAAATTAATTGGCTACGCAAGGTGGGCGGCACTTAATCAGTTTAATTAATATGACAGGTGAAGAGGTGGTACATACATACACTAGCATAAGAGAAAGCTGGTTAAGACCAACAACAGACAAAGGAATGCTAGTCAACGATATATTGGGAGGCAGGCAAACGAGCAATAAGATGATAAAGATGGTCTACACCGTCAACTGAGTGAGGTGCAAGGTGGTGGTAGGCAAAGGAGATGAAGGCGAAGAAGAAGACGCTAGACGCACATATCCAATTACCAAAACTTACTGAGTACCGAGCATGAAGTTCCAAATACACTCACACCATATTGCTTTTAATTACTTTGACTCTTGGCCCCAGGATCATTTGTTCACCTCGATACTTGTACAAGTAATTACAAACACGAACACACACACATAAGCACATAAATTTATTACTGCCTGCTCATATATCCAACTTCTAATTTCACCTTACCTTTATCTCTTTTCACTTCACAGACGCGCCATACTAGCCAACACAGATGTCTCCGGCCATACGCCTTGGCAGAGTGTCTTCCAACATGACTACTGGGGCACGCCGCTCACCGACACCGGCTCACATGGCTCATACCGGCCGCTGTGCGTGCTTAGTTTTCGTTTCAACTTCCTGCTGGGCGGCTACACACCTTGGGGATTTCATCTCATCAATAACCTCATGCATTGTTTGGCCACAGGTTTGGTCGTTAAGCTGGCGCGTTATTTCCTCTCCTCTGTTTGGGGTGTGCTGGCGACGGGCGCCATCTTCGCCGCCCATCCCATACATACAGAGGCTGTAGCGGGTATTGTGGGTCGTGCGGACTTGGCGGCCTGCATATTCTACCTGCTCACATATCTGATGTATATGCGGCATATAGTGTGGCGCGAACGTGGTGAAATGCGTCAATGGTTGGCGCTAATGCTCACTGTAGTGCTGTCACTTGTGGCTTTACTCTTCAAGGAGACTGCGATCACGGCGCTGTTGGTGTGTGCATTGTTCGACGGTTTGCGTGGGCTGTGCGGTTATCGTGACAAGGTGAGTATGTTGTAGTGGATTTTCATACTGCAAATTAAGCCTCAGGTCTTACAACTACTTATGCACTATATACATTCACTTCCATTTTTTCATTACAGCAACGCATGCGTACACTTTGCATACTGGGCGCCTCGCTCGCCTGCATCGTCTATTGGCGTCTACTGGTGCTTCCACGTCCACAAACAGCCTTCTCAACAGCAGACAATCCCATTGCGAAAGCGCCTTCAGCGTGGTCACGTTTCCTCAGCTTCCTCTACCTGCCCGTCTTCAATTTCAATCTGCTACTGAGCCCGCTTGTGCTGAGTTTTGACTGGGGCATGGATGCCATACCGCGTATAACCTCGCTGCGTGATGAGCGCAATCTACTCAGCTTTGCTTTCTACAGCACACTTGTCACAGCGACGCTTAAGAGCTTTAAATATCTCTGGCGGCGGCGCTGCGAGCGCATTGCAAAGGAGCAACGCCAAGCGCAACAACAACAACAACATCAGCTGCGTAAATCGCGTTCAAAAAAGAAGTATCGCTTACCCATAACCGCATTGGAATCCAGTGCGACATATGGATTATTGGATGCAACCACTTTAAGCTGCGCACCGTACACGGCCGCTAGTACAACTGCGGCAGCATCGCCGACGACGGGCGCACTATCACTGCTGCAACCCGAGGCGCTGCCGAATGCATCCCATCTGCGTTGTACATGCCATTATTGCAAGCAGGAGCTTAGTTCTGTGCATCACACAGCCTCGTGTCGTGCGCTTAACAATAACAATAACAATAATAACAGCATACAATGGCTCTATGCGAATGCGTTTAGCGATTGCTGTTGCCATCAGCTATTTCAGTCTTCCAGTGGGGCACCCCACCTTCTGGCGGTTGCTCTACGCAAAGCGCTTATGGCCGTTGTGCCGCGTTCCTCACGCAGTAGCAGCCGCTGTAGCAGCAGCACAACGGCGAGTAACAATAGTTCGGGCAGTAATACTTCCAGTAGCAGTACCTGCAGCAGCAGTTCATCTTCCACCGAGAAGGCAGGAAACCAACAACGGGAACGTTTGACCACAGCTTCGCCGCTTTTGTTAACGCCGCGCGCAGCTCAACATACAAATAATGCCTGCATTTTACTTATGGCATTGTGTTTCCTTACACTGCCCTTTATTCCAGCTACGAATTTATTTTTCTACGTCGGTTTCGTGGTGGCCGAGCGTTTGCTTTACCTGCCCAGCGTCGGTTATTGCCTATTGGTTGGTTATGGTATTAGCAAACTGATGGAACGAGTTCGTTCGCCGGCTGCACGGAAACGAAAAGCGGCGCTCATACTCGGGCTGAGCCTATTGGTAAGCGTGATGGGCGCTCGTACCGTGCAACGCAATTGGGACTGGCATGACGAGGAGAGCCTATTTCGGAGCGCGGTGCAAGTTAACCCACCCAAAGGTAAGTCGGTTTTTGATATCAAGTTGACATATTTTTGCAATAGTATAACTCATCTATGACGAGGTATTCATTTGTCCTTTTGATGCCGACCAGCTTCACAATTTTAGACAAGATACGAGTCTCGACCAAAGACAAAGTGGTTCTATGACATATACATATATAATTTAAATTGATTTTCTTAGAGAAAGCCCTTAGTTTTTTTAACTTTAAAATACATATAACTTAAGTTTAAACACCTTAACGATGGATATTATGTAGCAAAACTTATAACCCTTTTCCATTTCACAGCACTTGGCAACCTAGGAAGTGTACTTAGCTCACAAGGACGTTATGAAGACGCGCAAAAGGTGCTTGTCGAGGCAATCAAACATAGACCCAACATGGCGGATGTTCACTTCAATTTGTAAGTACAAAAAATTAATTTACTAAAGGGTGATCCATTTTGAGGTTCTCTACTTTTTTAAAGAAAAAAATCGCTGTAAATGCAAATTAAATGGAGAATGTTTATTATCATTCGAAAAACCTTTCTTTGGAATTTATTTTTTGAGAGTTATCTCGTTCAAATGTTATCCGCGGCTAGGTCTCATATGGTCCAACCTTTGATTCCAATGTCCGATGGTTAGTTTGAGCATTTTATTTTAATTTATTTTATTAAGTTTTGTTTTATTTTATTTTACCTTATTTTATTTATTTTAAAAAATTTTAATTTAGTTTATTTTTTATTTTACTTATTTTAATTCTTTTTTTTTATTTTATATATTTTCTTATTTTATTTTGTTTTATTTTCTTTTTTATTTATATTTATATTTTATATTTTATTCTTTCATTTTAATTTATAATGTTTTTTATTATAACGTAATTATTTTATTTTTTTCATTTTATTTGTTCCCTTAAATTTTGCGCTTCAATTAAATGGCTCTACAAACCTTCTTCATATTTCCCATAGAATAAATACAATATATATGAAATGAATGCAAAAGTGTGGATTTTAAACTATTTTAATTCCGCTTCACGTCTCCACGACTACTTTTCCAGTCACAGAGCATCAGTACCCTCAGTGAGCACTCAAGTGAGGATTACTTAAAATGTTGCATATTATCATCTATTCGATTTCCATTTCCTCTGCACGCCGTACTCTCCCACGTATTGCTGTTTTCCTGTCGTTTTCCTGTTCCGTTTCGTTTTGTCAATTCTTTTATTCTTTCTTTCGTTCGTTGCTTCGTTGGTTCGTCATTTGCGCTATTCCAATTGCAACTGATTCCTTGCAAATCTCGGCGATTAAGTCACATTTAAGTAGGATAAATGGTACAAACGAAAAATAAATAAAATTCAAATGAACTCCTGCAAAAGAGGCCATTCGGAAACTGAAAAGCAAGCAGGTTGAAATGGACGAGGGAGAAAGAGAGCAGTCGCTGCAACATAAAGCAAAACCATTCATAGTAATGTATATACGAGAAATAGAAAAACAGGCAGACAGACATCAATACACTCAGCCGCAATCGAGAGTGCACTCATCAGCTCTGTCACTTTCAAATGGCCTTAGACAACTCTCTTGGCTCGTTATGTATGTATGTTCCCAACACAAGCGTATTTAGAGTTTCTTTTTTCTTTTCTATTTTCTATGACCAACTACAAAACTCACTGCAATGGTATGGATTTTATTCATGAGCTCCAACAGCTCATGGGCATATAAAATATATACAAACGCACATTCGTACAAAATTTTATGTATTAATATAAGTGTATACACATATGTAAGTGTATGTACATATATATGTACTCGCATACTTCAGTCATCGACTTTACGAACTTAAAATCGCCTAAATACTTATGTTCTCCTATACTCGTACACAAAAATTTTTTCATTCCTTTTTTTATCAATAATCCTGTTGGCCTCTATATACCATGTCCCATCTGCCGCAAATTTGCTACCAATGTATGCACACACACGAACGTTTTCTAAATTCAAAAGCTTCGTTTAAATGAATGCTTTCTCATTCACATGTACACATTCACAAATGATTTTCACTTTTTTCTCCAATCCTTTGAACGTTGTGCACATACATATATTTTTTCTCTAATTCTCACCTATATACCTACCGCCGGGCATCTTTTTTTTTGCTACTGATTTGCAACGTCAATAGCATTGATGCCACAACATCATGGCCACTGATAGACGCATTTAACTGCTGCGTCGGCATATCGTACTTTTGAGATTTCTTACGAATGATATATTGAAAAAGGTGTACATCGAAAAGAACACTCATATATGTATGTATACGCATACAAAGTTAGCTGATCAGCGTAAACGGAAGGAGACACCATTGAATGTCTTACTCCTTTTGCTGTCTGTTAACGAAGGAAGTGCAGTTTTGAGTTCACGCAGAGAACAGGAGTTTCGAAGGCTTAATTGCCAAAGGAAAATAATATAATGTGAACACATGTGTTCGTTCAATGCTTTTTTGAGCGAGTATAAGCTTTCAAATCTGTAAAAAATTTAAAAACTGTTAGTCACTGAAGGTAAATACAGTTTGTCAATAATGAGTTTTCACACAGCAAAAAAAACACACTTTTTCAACTTAAATTGTATATATAAAGGATGCATTTTAAGGTATAATCTATTTGGCAATACTGGTTTAAACAGCTGACGCAAGTCTCGTGTTTTGTATCACTGTCAAACATCATCAGTCTGATCTTTAACTTAACCCTGAATCGTCCTACAAACGAACAACGCCTGCAAATTATTGAATTGCATTATCAGAATGTGTGCTCTGATAAGAAAGTTAAAAAAATAAATTGTGTTCAGCGACGAAGCCCATTTTTGCCTTAAAGGGTGCGTAAATAAGCAGAATTGTAGATTTTGGAGTGAAAATGAGGCAGAAGCAACGCATCCAGAAAAAGTCACTGCTTGGTGCGGCTTATGAGCTGGTGGCATCATTGGACCTGACTTCTTCAAAGATGATGAGACTGTGCCACATGCCACACAGAACGCTTAACAATGGGCTTATTGAGAGGCGAGTTCGGTGAACAATTTATTTCACTTTCGGGACCGGTCAATTGGCCGCCTTGATCGTGCGATTCAACGCCTTTAGACTTTTTTTGTGGGACTATGTCAAATTTAATGTCTTTAAAGACATGCCCGTTTTAATTGACGCTTTTGAGGACAACATTGAAGCATTTATTCGTGATATACCGGGCGAAAAGTTGGAAGAGTATGCCATAATTGGACTAAGCGGATGAACCATTTAAGGCGCAGTTACGGTCAATATTTGCATGAAATATCGATTCGAATAAAGATTTCATGGATTTTTTTGAATCACCCTTTTCTTCATTTTATTCGCTTTTTTTTAAATATTACTATCAAATACAGTTATTTACATTATTTACAATTGATTCATAAAGAAAAAAAATCAGATGAGTACAAAAGATGCGAAAACATAGGATCCCCAAGTTCGGTATTTTCAAAGAGAAATCAGTGTAACGATACATCTCCATTAATAATTTTGTTTCTACTTCGATCTTCTAAATCATGCGAGTTACGTAATTTCAAAACATCTTTTAATAACTTGAAGTACTAAAAAAATGAACGGAATTACATTTCATTCCCGTGTCCCCCATGTGTATGTTTGAAGTGGTCGATTCGTTAAACCCAATTTTTGATTACTTGGCCGCATATTTCGACCGCTGCGTCCACTATTTCTAATTCAATATTGGCTCTGAACTGTTCTAATGTCGCCAGATTGTTGGCATAGGACAAATATAGCTTCAAAAAAATGTCCACAGGCACATTTCTGTAGTCAATATCATTCTCCTTAACCTCATTTTCATCGGCGAGAAAAACGGACTAATGTCGCCACCGGCATGAAATCAGGACAAAACGGTTTTTTTTTAGAATTAACCGCTGTTTCATGAAGCACATGAAGGTTCTCAATAGTCTAGTGCTGGGACGAGACTTTCATTCAAAAATTGATGTTAACGTTCTGCGTAACTGCGACCATTCACTCGTAATTTCGTTAGCAAATTTCAATAATTTATAACGTTGTTTGTTCGTATACTTCACCATGATGCAAATGTTGACTTTACTGAACATTTCAACATTTAAAATTAAATCACACCTTGGGCCCCTTAAATATCTTAGTGATATTAAACTGTTACCAACGGCAACTTTATTAATTTCTCCCTAAATTATTTATTGAGATGTGAATATAAATGTTGAAATATTAGTTGGTAACAGCTTCAATATAAGATAAAAGCCACAGATCCAACCAAGTTCCGGAACAGATTCCTTATTCAATATTCTAAACTAAATTCTGAAGCCTGAAAAAGTCACTTTCCCCAAATAAAGTGAGCTTTATATATTTTCAACCCGTTAGATGCATTGATAATTTTGAAAATAACTTACACTAATGCTTATAATTATTTTGTGGTAAAGGTTATACTAGCTGACTGTCTGTCACAACGTACGAGTACATAGACCAGATGGAGGCTCATACTAGTTCGCGCTAGGAGGCTGCCAATGCGTTTTTAGAAATTAACGAAGGTGTTGAAACTTACTCAAGCCCTCTGAACAGCAAATCTCCAATCTGTTCAAGATGTGTTTAGAGCTGAAGAGGAGGTCTTTCAATGTCTCACTTTGTGCACGTGCCAAGTATGCTCATTCTGCTCGCGTCTGATTCAAAATTTTCATTGAACCATGTTTTCCACAGTCTCTCTGATTGTAAGGACCATTTCTGGAGTAAACCGATGTGGGAATTTTGTTTAAAATTATTTATTTATATGAGTGTTCCTTCTCAAAACCTAAAAACGAGCTTCAAATTTCATGGTTTCACTTTTTGCGAATGAGTTTGAAAATTTGATGTCCATTCAGACAGCTTGTGAAAGGCAGGGCATTTAATTATCATGCAGGTGGTTAGCATTGTGTATTACCATTTGAAAGGTCAAATGGTTTGGGCCTGGTTTGGACAACATTCACAGTGTATTTCAGACATGAAGTGAACTCTCCTCAAACATCCTTCAACCATACGCAGATATACTACAAATTTGAGTAGGAGCTTCATCGAAAATCACTTAAGTTATTACAAAGTGCCAAAACTATTTATATATATTTATATATGTATGCGAAGGATAGCTGATAAAGTCACAACGTAACGTACTTAATGAAACAAATGTATACATTTATGTCTTTCTATTTCTCAATATAGTCTCCCTCGAGTGAAACAGGCTTTTCACAACTTTATACCCCTGAAAAATATTCATTAGATTTCTCTTCAAAATAGGTTTCTACGGCCGCAGTCCTCTCACTGACGTGCGTTAAACTTTGTCCTCATAACTCCTTTTGTAAAGGGTGTATGGTCAATTTCTATTAATGGGGTAGCTTTTAAAGCATGCCTCGCACCCCGAGCG